AAGTAACATAGCTCTAGAGCCATCCTCACCAACTCCTGAGCTGCTAACTTTAATCTGAAATTGTTAAAGTAAGGGTGAGATTTCTCATAATTAACATGCATTATAAGCTTCTCAATCAACATTATATCACAAGCATATTATTTCACCCATTTTAGCATAAATTCATATTCAACACGCAGTTCCAATCATACAAGTCATTATGCACAAATCAATAATCAACCAAAGAATTGTAACACTGGAAGACATCCTAACATGTTACAATTCCATGCAAACACAAATGCAGACACAATGCATGTGGTACCAACACATGACCAAGTCACCCAACACTGATCCATCATCAACCGGATACAGCAACCATCGATTCGTCCATAAACACCCGGACACGAATCCAGCCTAACCACCCATCATCACCCGGGTATCGGTTAACGGCAATACAAGTCAAATTTCACACAATGGGAATTAACTTCACCAAAACAATGCATATGCACGCACATCACTAGCATGCAACATCAAATCAGTCTATGAAATACATCAATTTATCATAACTGAACCAAAACCAAAAACATGATATCTCAACGATCATACACACCATCATTAGCAACATAAACATGCCTTTCATTCACACAATACTAATACATCCATCCATCACAGGTTCACTGCTACGTACACACCCATGTGCGTTAGCCAATAATCACTTATTCCGGGATTTGACTCATTTTCAAAATAATTTCAGGTTTTAGGAAATCTTTTCATTTTATAAAATAGGGCATTAAATTTAAGAAATAACGTCCAAAATGGCACTCAAAACGGACTTACGATTTGAAAGTTATGAATTTTCAAAGTTTAATATTTTTCAAAAAGTTACAGCAGAACCCGGTTCCTACATATGCAGGAACCGGTTCCTGAGAAGTTCAAAAATCACGCTTCTGGAAAAATGTATGGGAACCCGGTTCCTACCTATACAGGAACCGGTTCCTACGTTCATTTTTGCCAGTTTTTATAAATTCATACAGTGGAACCCGGTTCCTCCCCACTGGGAACCGGTTCCCACGACCTGCAGAGTCAAATTCTGCACTTTTGACAACATTTATTCATTCTAAACCAATTCCAAACATACCCATACGAATTGCAACATGAGAAACATCAAAACACATCCATTTTGCACCATTATAACACCAAACAACATTATTTCATCATTCTTTTTTATCATCTGACACCCTAATGGTTTTCAACCTACAATTCGACGCAATAGGGACAATTCTACGGAACCCTAGAATTACAAACCGGGATTCTCTAACATACTATGATCCATACTATTGAATATCTAAACCATACGAATTAACTAATCGAAATCACCCCTTACCTTGTGGGTTCTTCGAATTCTGACGCTTCCGATTTTCTCCTTCTTTTTCCTCTTCTCAAATGCACGTATGATGAATATTCCAAAATAACTCTCTTTCTCTTCTTTTTCCTTTTAATACTCCTTTTATTATTCCAATAAAATAATTAAATTAGTAAGAGTAGAGTATTTTACCCCTCACACCCTCTAATCACTCTTCACACCACCAATACTTCTTTCCTTTAATTAATTAAATTAATTCCAATAATCCAAAAATACCAATAATTAAATTTCCAATTAAATTAATAATTAAAATTTTTAATTATTTAATAATCGGATTATTTGGGGTGTCACACCCCCCTCGTAGTGTCCAGACGGATCAAACGATTTGCTTTGGGCTCGGCCCAATGATTTCAACGCCCCTAAATTACTGCCTCAACATAAATTTACACCCCTCCGTGTTAATGGACTCAAATCTATTATTAGGCTCAGCCTTTGCTATTCACACACCTCTAAATTACTAAGTCCAAATAAAATATATCCCTCGTTCATATTTTCAATTTTATTTATTTTTGGAATTTTATTTATTTTCCTTTTTTCTAAATGTATTTATGTTTTCATTTTGCATTAAAATGATAAAAAATATATATAGATATTAATTTTATTTGTATATATGTTATATTATTTTTAGAGGAATAACAAATTTTTTCTTGTATATATAGTTATAAAATTGATAATCATTTTCTTAAAGTTACTAACTTCTTTTATTAATTCAATTAAACAATTTTTTACTACTAACTTCAACTTTTTATCCATTATATATTCTATTTTCTAAATTGCATTTAATTAAATATCTAATCAACTTCAAAAAAATTCTACTAACTTAACAAAAATTCAATACTATTTTCAAAAAGAGGATTGTGGATTTACTTTTAAATTAAACTTCGAACTATGTCTACGACTATGCAACTTTCAAACACAGACGAATTTCAAAGAATTGTTCGAAAGCAATTACACAATCCTATAAAAAAACTAATCAAACACATACGAACTACGAAATAGACTCTTATTTCTTCGCAAGAGGATACGTAGGCACGCAGTTAAAACCAAGACGAGTCTCATAATTAAAAAATTAAATCTTTTCTTAAACATATGGAAACAGTAACATTTAAATAGAAAACTCCCGATCTACCCTAGAATCTAAATGGAAATCCCCTTGAGAATAAGGGAGATAAAGGGTGTCTAACATCTTCTTTTTGTCTAACCAACTCGCGAATTTAGAATTTCTAAATCAAATTAGGGTTATTTTTCCTTTCCCGTCCTTAGGACAAAAAATAGTGGTGGAGACTCGTATTTTTTGCCAGTTACGACACATAGAGTAAATGATTTAATAAGAGAGAGGTTATAAGCATGTATTTTAACTTAAATCAAGTTGAACCTATAGAAGACACTTCTAATTTATGTCAATTACCAACTAAGACTTCATGAGGTGAATCACTAGTGTGTAAATTTTGTAGATTTTAAATGTTAAAAGTAATGTCATGGGATGCACTTGAATCTGTAAACCATACTTGAGAGACCAAGTCATGTAGAACTTGTAAAATATCTTGATGATCTATGTATGTTGTGGCTTGAGAAGGATTCGAGTTCTGACCTTGTGGTTGCACTTGTGTTTGATCAATTTCAATTGTAGAAGCAGGTTGTGCTTGAGTTTTTCCTGGAGTTGGTTCAAAGTACTCATCAAAGTGATGTCGACATTCTATAGCTGAATGTCCATATTTGTTGTAGAATTGACAAGTAGGTATATTTCTTTGAGTATATTATTATCTTCCTCGACCCTTGCTTCTAGCGCCTCAAGCTCTTCCCCTCTGATGCTAATACGCACCTAAATTTCCTGCATTCATGGCTGAAAATTGATTTAATCACGCATGTGCTAAGTTGGTCGTAGCACTAGGTGTTGTATATTCTTCTTTGTGCTTTTCTATTTGCTCTTCTTGAACATAAAGTAAAGCTTCAACCTCATATATATCACTAGATTCCACTTTGCAATATATCATCATGATGAACGGGTTAAACTCTGTGGGTAACGCTTGCAGTATGGAATCCACTTGATCCCTCTCAAAGATAGAATCACTAACTGCAAGTAAAGAATCTTATATTGCTATAGTACGAAGAACATACTCAGAGATAGATTTGTTATCTTTCTTGATAGTCTTCAACTCAGCTCTGAGTTGATGAAGTCTTTCCTTCATTTGTGAGTGAAAATGCTTATGAACTTTATCACATACCTCATAAGCATGCTTGCATGGGAGAACTCTTGGTAGAAACGATTCAAAAATGGCGAATAACAATCATGTGAAAAGTGTTTGATCTTGCACAATCCATGCTTCGTACTCTTCAAAGATAATGTTTGAAAGCCTTTCACTGTCAGTTATGAATATCGACGGGATTTATGGATTTGCCACGATCGTGTGTAGTCTATATGATCACCTTCAACTTATTGGTTCCAAAGAAGAAAGTTATTCTCTTGTAGTTTGATGGGGAGCTTTTTGTGCTAACGTGTTTCCCGGGTGTTGCACATTGTTGGCGCCATTATTTGAGAAGCTTTAAACACATATTGTGTTTCTTGTAGCATGCTATCTTGATTTTCTATGGAAGCTTCTCTAAAGCTTGCTTGTAACTATTCCAGATTGATCAACGGAACTGTGGTAAGATCAATCTAACTCATCCTTACAAAATTGACCTGTAAGATGAGAGATGTCACTCTATATAAACTCTTTCAAAATATACTCTCTCGCGCCCAAAATTCTTTTGGACTTGGTGCATGGATATAATAAGTGGGTGGTTCATAGTCCGACTGATATGCTCTGATACCATGACAAGAATGAGAATGAATAACATTGATTATGAATAATGAGAGAATATTACCACAAACTTTATATGTGATATTGATGGTATTGTTGATTACATCTCAACTAAATGAAGCTTGATACATATTACTAGTTCGAGCTTTCCTAAGTTAGTTGGAGAATGTAAAAGTTAGTTAGTGTTGAGATAACTAACTTTCCTATTAGTGCAACTAACGCTTAACCAACGTTTACATACTTCTATATATTACCCTAATAAGATAATTTGACAAGATTTAATTCCTATCTCGGTGTCCTTCGCATTATGGAGACTCATCCATACAAATTTACCTTGTGATATGAATATGCAGAAGAGGGGTTGAATTTTGCATCAATACGTGGCTTATGAAACAAGCATATGCATTCATCAGTCCATATAGAAATTTATAAATCTATTATTTAAATTTTGTTAAAATATTTACATTTAAAATGTTTTGATTATATAGAAATTTAGATAAATTAAATAACTTAGTTCATAATTAATTTAATTAAATATGAAAAATATTTCATTTTTTTATGGTTATTAAAAACCTAAATTAACATAATATTCTATAATTGATTGATATATTTTTAATATTTAGGTACCCATAATATACATAATATACAGATACTATTAACAAAAATCCACACAAATATGAACTTGAGTAATGATACTTTTCTGAACATGCATCTATGAGAATGGTATACCTTACTACCTATTGTATCCATAAATAGATAGATACTGCAATTTCTTAGATAAAGTATACCCTTCATATTTTTATAAACTTTTTGGCAAAAAAAATCAACAAAGCATTCATCCGGCAATGGAACAAACCACACTCATAAAAGCATGCAATCAACCAACATCTCTTCCAAAGCAGCCAAGAAAGTGTCATAAAACATTAGTTTACCCTCAAAGTGTAAACAATAGTTTATCTTATGATAAAAAAACAAAATCGGTTTCGCCAAACATTGCTCCTCTAGAGTCAGATACAGCAATGGCTACAGAAAATGCCCTCACGCAAAGCCTTCTTCCGTGGACTTGTACAAGTTTTTTTTTTTTACACAGAACACAAGTTGAGAACAAAGGGGTCAACAATGTATGGTTACTGTGTCTTTTTCTTGTACGGTAAGTTATTTTTGGTCTTTGAACTGAACTGCTGCTGAAATGAGATGCTTATCAGCTTGCACTGCAACTTCTTCATTTAAACATCTCTACACATTCATAGCAGCTTCTTCATGCAGATCAACAAAGATAAGGAATGACAGAAATACAATAAAAGCTTATTCATAGCATTTTATCAGATGCAACATATCTCCTTGTTCGGTGGTGCACAGTTGTATAGAATGTTCGTTCTGGTTACTGGAATTCTAGATCTAATTTTCTTTTTAAATGTGATCTGTCAGCACTGCAGAACAAAAGAAATAGAACTAATTAAAAGAAATAACTCGCAAGTAGAAATATTAAAAGATATAAAGCATTAACGGCAGCATTTTTAAAATATCTAAACAAAATATGAAAAAGGATTCTATATAAAGCACTTGTAAGATTTCTCACAAGTCATGATCCGTGTTGAATTTCATCATATAAAATAAGCTGAATAAAACAAAAATAATATATTTTTCGTTCCATGATTTTATTTATGATTAAAATGAACATTGAGAATCAACATGGTTTCAGAAGTTTGGTGTAAATTACCACAAGCAATACAGGAAAGCAATTCGGTATACCACCTAGTACTAGTAAGAGTAGTCAATAGCGGTGGTGCTATCCCGCTATAGTGGAGCGGAGGCCGGCCACTATGAGAAGAGCTTAGCAGTGCAGAACACTACAGCGGCCAGAGCAGTTTCTGTCCCACTATCCTTTTGCTCTCTGAAAAACCGAAATTACCCTTTAAATTTAAAACATTTGAAGGGTAATTTTGGGTTTTTCAATCAAATTTGAGTTGAGAGTAGTCAGAGTACTCAAACATAACCTTCCTTCAACGACGTTTTTGCACTTCAGCTATTCCAAAGAAAAATCACAAGTTCTTCCCTCACCTCTCTCTGCACTTTGTTTTTCTCTCGGCACTTCATATGTTTATAATTACTATACGCTATCCACTATCCCAGTTTTGGGGTCGGCCACTCCGCGCCGCTATCCGGGATTAACTACTATGGTACTAGTACTATTGTTGCATTCACACAGCTCCACCATTTAAATTTAGAAAATAAAATTACGTTCAACCTTGAGATTCCATTTGGTTATGAAATAAAAATGCACAAACCACACAGTATTAGGTCTTTCATATCTTCGCCTGTCAATAACATTAATAAAATGTTTATGGTTTAATATGTAAGCTCGAGAATATTATTATCTACTTATTTCATGTTTGACACGCATATCACACACAGTACAGACTAAAATACCACTTTGAAACACTTGGATGATCAATATTATTTATCTACTTACCTGTTAATTGTTGGTCTATTTGGAGGTTTTAATCCAAAGATAGAAAAATCTAGTGACATTGGTGCGGGATCACTCTTCCCTATATTATCACCAGCGGCCTGTTTCAAGTTAGAATGAGTATCATCAACCTTGTCTCCTTGCAATGAACTTCCTTCAAGTCCATCACGCCCTGGCATTACTCTCCTAGTCTTTCTAGGAGGTGATAAGACTGTGGGACCCTCACGTGGATTCAAATCCGATTCCTTAATTTCCTTCTTAGGGGCAGGTCTTGGAAGCTTATCTGGATCTGTGGGCGGAGGAGGACAAGTAAAGTATCTGAAGTTGAAGAGGAGATTAAATTAAGGAAAACGAAAAAGGAATATATTATTTAACTTTTTTCTTAACACAATCTTTAAGGTTGTAATACCTGTGTTCTAATGCCTGCTGCACCGAAATTCGTTCCTTTGGGTCATATGTAAACATCTTAGACAACAAGTCTAAAGCATCCTCACTTGCCATTGGAAATAAAGAGCGCAGAGGAGGGGCAGGCACATATTGATATTCAACATAATCAGGAAGGTATACCATATCAGACCATTGAGAAGGAGATGGAGTTCCAAATGCTGCAAAAATCTTTCCCAATTGGTCCATATCACTTGAACCCTACCAATAAAACCAAACTCGTGAAATTACTAATCAAAAGAAAGACGATGAAGCACACAGAAACAAATAAAATTAAATGGTTATTATCATCCTAAAATGATATATGGCTAATAAGTGGCAATTTTTAAAGAGAAGAAAAATAAAATTCCATCATTTCAAGAATATCAACCATTTATGATTTACCACATAAATAATCTATCACTATGAGAATCATAGTTTACCTGCAAAAAGGGTCGGCGAAGAAGAAGCTCAGCAAATATACAGGCTGCAGCCCAAACATCTACTCCTGGGCCATACTGCTTAGTACCAAATAATAGCTCAGGTGCTCTATACCATCGTGCAAACACCTATTCATGTATTCGAGAGATTTATTAAGAGAAAGTGCAGAATACAGCATAACAAAGAAACAAGTAGTGGATTCTAGAAAGAACCTGTGAATCTAAGGATGGGGAATAAAGATTTTCTTGCTAGTTCCCAGGAAATATGTATGCACATGAAAGACTTTTTTACCCATATTGCCCAGATTTCTAATCCCCTCTAATAGAGGTGGGAAACTTATTATTCACAGGTAATAGAATCAGTTTGTGCAAAGATATTAGACAATCCTCCACTAACCGTGTGAGTCCACCAATACAACTAATGTAATTGTTTCCTCTGTCTCTATTGTCTAATTGTTTTTTCTTCAATGGTCTATTGCGTCTAATTTTTTAATTGTGATCATGGCAGTACCTTCACTCCATATTGCAAGTTTACTACAAGTGCTTTTACTCCGGTGCCATTGTTTCTTATAATAAAGTAATGATTTGGTTACCTAGAATATATATATTTATATAACATTCATATTCAAATTCTAGACACATAATAAAACCACTATTCCTGCATTATTCCAATCGTTGGCCAACTTCAGAAATCACAATAATAATGATATCTTATTATAAGACCAAGTTTAGTCGGAAGAGTATTTTAGGAATTGTAATATCTATTTGTGTGAATACATGTTGAAAATAAAACATAAGATTCCTGGCAATTAACAATACTACCCAAACACTTTCAAAAATTTATTTCTTGCAAAGATATGCCTGGGAAAATCATTCCTGGAATTTAATTTTGATACCATGAAACAAACGCCCCCTTGGAATTTGGGTTAGACCTAACACAACTCTACAATACCAGCCGGCTTGTAATACAGTAATTGTCTAGACTTTATAATCCCCCAAACACAAGGCTATTTGGCCTGATGCGCAACCAAGCACACTAAAGGTGTTACACCAATGAATGCCGGCTAGGTGGCGAAATAAAAAACCATAGGGGTGGCGGCAATTAGAACAGATTTGGCAACACCATCATTCACGTTAGACCTGGACCGCCGGTGATGCAAGCAACCCAACAAATAACTCAACTCAGTATGCAAAATTTGGTTGTAATATGAGAATTGCCTAGATTTTATAAGTTCTACTTAGGTCTTATCTCTGGCTAATGCGAGATTTGGGTTTTTCCTAATTGCCAAGGGCTATTGGGTCTAGTGCTTGGATAATATGGGCGCTGATAGATCTAAGATAGCTCAAATGTCATCTTAGGTTTTGGTCCTAACTTGCTTAAAAGATGAGGATTGTCCAAACCTTATAAGCACTACTAAGGCTATATCAGATATCTCTAGGCAGTGTGGGAATAAATCCACCCCTTCAATCCAACAAATTTATAGTGCTGTACCGCTGCAATGAAAGCAAACAAACAAAATGACAAATAACTACCGAACATAGGGATGGCCACATAATTTTTTCCAACAATTTCCACGGTTGTCTACATGCTTACTCTCACATTTTCAAAGGGATTGATTCACATGCTATTGTGCATAAAAAATTAACCTGATGAGTGAACCTGCGATCCGGGCTTCCAAATATCCGTGCTAAACCAAAATCTGCAAGTTTCAGCTGTCCATTAGGTCCTATCAACAAATTATTTGGTTTCATATCCCTGAAAATACACAAGAAAACTTTTCAGTTATGAACTAATCGCAATTTTCAATTTATAATGAACAGACCAGTTACATTACCCACCTATGCAATATCCATTTTTTGTGACAATGAGCAAGACCTTTAAACGTCATTTGAAGGTAAGATTTGATATCACCCGGTGAAAGGAAAATATTCCGGTCTCTTATGACAGCTTCAAGGTCTGTCTCCATGAATTCAAACACAAGATGCAAATTCCCTTTATGTGGGAAGCAATCAATCAACTCAATTATATTAGGATCATTGAGCTCTTTAAGCAATTTGATTTCCCTAAGAGCTGTAAAATTAACCCCTTCTTTCTGCTTTCCAATCCTAATCTTCTTAATAGCAACCGTCTGTCCTGTCTGTCCTTGAAATAAATACATCTTTGTAAGGACCGTGTGATGATAATAATAGAACTACTGATGTGCTACCATTTTCACTATTGAATAAAAAGCCAGCTCACCAAGACATATATGCAATCTTATACCCAGAACAAAATCAACTAGTAACCTTCACCACTCCAAAAATAATTGAAATTTGAATTGACCATATCAACTTAAGAAACATACTCATGAATGTAATCCTAAGAAAGCCCGCATTCTAAAGGCAATATAAGCTATGAAGCCCAGGACACCCTAAACACAATACCGACAATAACATGGCGACACCAATAATAATTTTTAAAACATGAATAAATAAACTTAATCACAAGTGTTTGTCGCTGTTGGTGTCCAACAAGGACACACCTTTTTTCTGAGGCGCTACAGAGATTATGAAACGTTACATTACTCCAAAGTTCAATATAAAGATGTATTTTTTCTTCTCATTTCAAGATTTTTATAACACCCATTTATCTATAACACATCCAAACATCTCTTACAACTTCCGAATTTTATTTACTTGGGTCCAACTCTCACAACCCAGAAAGAAAAAACTCAAAAAAAAAAATATTCTTTCATTGAAATTTCACATAATTACTCGACAAACTAAAAGAAAAACTCAACATTAGAGGAAAACCCCAAGTTTTACCTGGGTATCAATGGCTTTGTAAACGACACCATAGGTACCTTCACCAAGAACCTCACGTTTGAGATACCTATCAGCTACTTTCTTAGACGGATCTAATTCTGTCATATTCGTCGCAAAGATTGGTCTAGTGAAGACTATTGAATTGTAAATTGCAGCTACGGAAATCGATAATTTAGGAGCGGTTAGGGTTTCGGGAGTGTGAATTGGGAATTTCAATAATTGAGATGAAAAAAATGAAGATTTGAGAGAGAGAGAGAGAGAGAGAGAGAGAGAGAGAGAGAGAGAGAGATGAAATGCGCGTAGCTGGAATCACAAAACGGAGAGAAAAAGAGAAGAAGCGTCTGAGAGATGCAACGGCTATACTTGATATTGGTCTATAATTATAATAATAAATTCAATGCCAATAAACATCTTAAGTAAACCTAAACCTAATTAATTGAATTGAACATATCTTTAGTTCAATTCACTATATAAAATATAATTAATTTATATAGTTGAACCAAAATTTTAATGGTGAATTGAAGTAATAATTTGTTCAATTAATTAATTATATTCTCATATGTGATTAACTAAGTGATGAGCATGCCTATGAAAAAAATATGTCAATGAACTCGACGATTATACTTGTCATTCCACAGTTATATCTGGCATTCTAAATTTTTTTTTAAATTGAGCATATGTGTATATTAGATTTTTTGATAATCAGTAATTGAATAATCGATTGTGCCCTTCTTAACGACTTCGATCTATCAATGTTATTCTCTTCGGTCTAGAGGAACTTCCAGATTGACATTCCTTCTTGAGCATTGGCATTAGTAGTTCTTCATCTATGTTTTCCATAAATTCTTCTTCAATCAAGTCACAAAAAAGTTTGTTGACATTATTTGAATTGTTTAAATCCATTAAAGTTAGTGAAGAATGAGAGAAAATGAGGGAAGAATGAGAGAAGAATGAGAAAAGAATGAGAAGAGTGATAGTATATATATGGTATATGAATAGCGACTAGTTTGAATAACAGTTAGTTTGACTAATGCCTAGTTTGAATAACAATACAATGACAAGGTATAACAATTAAAACAGAACAGAAAAGTAAAGAACACACAGAAGTTGTTAATCCAGTTTGGTGTACAACAACACCTACTCTGGAGGCTACCAAGTCAGGGAGGAAATCCACTAAATAGTATCAGTTTGTAGACCCACAGTAAACTATCTCCAGTTTACAATCTACTCACCTAATCACTACTCATGCTTAACTTCTATCTAAGACTCACCTAGGTATGAGACCCTTCTCAAACATCTTTCAATCACAAAAGTGATTGAACAACTCAAAACACTTACAAAATAACAAAAGTCGCACTTCAAAAATACACAATCATTTAATACTTAAAAGCTTAAGAATAATTGACAGAGCTTACAACTCAAAAGAACAAACATACTCTTATATCAATATGATATTAGAGAGACTCACAATTAACACACACAAACCCTAACAAATACAATGTAAGTTCCACACTAAAACTAGGTTAGTGACAATTTATTTAAAGCACACATCTGGACTGGATTAGACTTCAAAAACACAGCAAAGAGTCTGCTAAAATTCTGCATAGAAAATAGGTCTTCAAACAAGGGTTTCCTAAAATGTCTCGACATTAGAAAATTGAATAACTTGAATACTAACACAATCTCGGATTCCTCTGTCTTAGACGCCACATAGAATTACTTAATATTCATAGAATATTCAGTAATTTAAATCAATTGTATCTAAACTGTAAAAACTGTAACAGACCATATGTCCTACTCCTCTGGTTAGGACATCGCATTTGACATGTTGAAACTGCAAGTTGAAACATCTTGTTCAACATGTTGCTACCAAGTTAGTTTTACCAAAATTAATGTCAATCACAAAAATAGAGAATTAATAATCTTCCCCTTTAGAATTTTTTTGGCTAAAACAACTAAATAACCCTTGCACATAACACACCACAATAATATGTTTGAGAATAAATCAAACACACAAATATCATAAACACAACAGCAGAAATCAATTCATTAGAGATATGAGCAGCAAAAATATCAGAGTATCAGCTAGTGAAAGCTACTCAACACAGCTGCCAAGAGAAAAATAAATTCTCAACATGTCAGGACATCATATCTGACAACTATTCACAGCAGTCCAATCCATAACAGGGATTCCCCCTCAAAACCTAATAAGGAACACTTCAGTGAATATAAAATTCTCCCCCTAATAGCAACAATCAGTCAGTGGTTATGGGTTAGATCACACACACATTACTCCCCCTTTTTAGACATAATATTACAAAGTTAAGTAACTAACCAAAAGCAACCACAGTAACACATTAGCACATAAATTTAATTGCACAAAGTGCACAAATACTAAACATATCCTGGGTATTTAACCCTTACAAAATCATAAGCCAATAAAAACAAGTACACAAAGCAAAACCAAAAGGAGTCATAGAACCTATAATCATGCATCAACATCAGCATCAGCACCAACCTCATACTCTTCTCCTTCTCCATCACCATCAGCACCAACATATGCAACAATTTCACCACCAGCAATAACATCATTACTCTTGTCAGCAAAGTATTTACCTAAGAAGATGTCACAACAATGTCTGGAACATGTGTTCTACCAAACAATTTATAATTCAAAGATAAAAGTAGATTCCCTTTTCTTAACACTAACAATAGCCAAACAAATATCGGGATGTAGGTAGTATGATTGAAGGATTTTATTGACCCATAACAAAAATAACAATTGCTATAAGTCCTCATAGATACAGATCCCTAATCTCCTTCGTAAGTTTTCAAATTGAACTGTATCTAGAGCTTTAATAAAAATATCAGCAAGCTGGTTTTCAATGCTAACATGCTCAAGAGTTATGACTTTATCCTCAACAAGTTCTCTAATGAAGTGGTGACTGATATTAATGTGTTTAGTCCTACTATGCTGAATAGGATTTTTAGAGATATTAATAGCACTCAAGTTGTCACATAATAATGTCATGACATCTTGTGTGACATTATACTCGATCAACATATGCTTCATCCACACCAATTGAGAGCAGTTGTTACCTACTACTATGTACTCAGCATCAGCAGTAGACAGAAATACATAATTTTTTTTCTTGCTAAATCAAGAAATCATATTGTTTCCCAAGAAAAAACAACCTCTAGAGGTACTCTTTCTATCATTAGCACTTCCATCCCAATTAGCATCACAATATCCCACCAACATGGAGTTTGAATCATAAGAATACAACATTTTATAATCACATGTACCATTCACATACTTTAAGATCCTTTTTACTTGATTGGTGTGACTTACTTTGGATTCTGTTTGGTACCTGGCACACACTCCAACAGTAAAAGTTATATCTAGTCTGCTCTCAGTAAGATATAGAAGACTGTTAATCATGCTTCTATATAAACTTTGATCAACACTAACTCCCTTTTCATCTTTGGATAACTTCAAGTGTATGGGGGCAGGAGTTCTTTTATGGTTGGCATTCTCCAATCCAAATTTATTCACAGTATTCTTTGCATATTTGCATTGACAAAGAAAAATGGAGCCTTCCATCTGCTTGAATTGCATTCCAAGAAAATATGTTAGTTCACCTACCAAACTCATCTCAAACTCAGATTGCATCTACTTGACAAAATGTTGGACTATCTCATCCGACATCCCTCCAAACACAATATCATCCACATAGATCTGAGTTATCATAAGTTTTCCATCTTTCTCTTTGACAAAAAGAGTCTTGTCAATTCCATCCTTTCTATATCCATGGTTAATGAGAAACTTAGTCAATCTCTCATACCAAGCTCTTGGAGCCCGATTTAAACCATACAATGCTTTCTTTAACTTGAACATGTGCTTTAGAAGAGAAGGATCGACAAATCCTTTTGGTTGTTCAACATAGCCTTCTTCATTTAGGTACCCATTTAAGAAGGCACTATTAACATCCATTTGGAATAACTTGAATTTTAAAAGACATGCCACTCCAAATAACAATCTGATTGATTCCAAGCGAGCCATATGATCAAATGCTTCATCAAAGTCTACTCCTTCAATTTGAGTGTATCCTTGAGCAACAAGTCCGGCTTTATTTATGGTAACAACTCTTTGTTCATCTGTCTTATTCTTATACACCTATTTAGTACTAATAACATTTATCCCTTCAAGTCTTGGTACCAAGTCTCAAACTTCATTTCTCTTGAACTGACCAAGTTCATCGTGTATAGCATTAATCTAGAACTCATCAGTCAAAGATTCCTTTATATTCTTTGGTTCAAACTTTGACACAAAACAAGCATTTGACACAATTTTCATTCATCTGGTGACTATCCCTTCATTTGGACTTCCTATTATAAGCTCCCTATGATGATCCCTTTTAATCTTGATTAAGGGTCCTTTGTCAATTGTCTTGGTTACTTCAGGTTCAGTATTAGAACTTGAGTCTGCAACATGTTCAATAACATCATCATCTATGGGAATAGATATCTCAACATCATCTGTAACATCATCTTCTCTTGTTAAGTCATCCACAATCACATTTATGGATTTCATCATCACATTAGTTCTGGAGTTGAATACTCTATATGCTCTACTGATACTAGAGTATCCCAAAAAAATTCCCTCATCACTTTTAGCTTCTAACTTCCTCCTTGGCTCAAGATCTGCCTAAATATAACATTTACTTCCAAAAACATGGAAGTATTTTATAGTTGACTTTCTTCCTTTCCATAGTTCATAAAGTGTAGCAGATGTACCAAATTTAATAATCACTCTATTATAGATGTAACATGCAGTGTTCATGGCTTCAGCCCAAAAATAATATGGTAGTTTCTTGGCATGAAGCATGACCCTGAAACATTCTTGAATAGTCATGTTCTTGCGCTCAACCACACTATTATGTTAAGGAGTGATGGGTGAAGAGTACTCATGACTAATCCCTTAAGAGGTGCAGAATTCTTCAAACTTGTTGTTCTCAAATTCCTTCCCGTAGTCACTTATAATTCTGGCAATACACTCTTTGTACCCTTTGAAACAATTCCTTAAATAGTTCAAATACTTTAGA